TAATTATGGTTATTAAACATCACCGTCACCTCTGTCTTTTCATTCATACAGTGAGGATACATTGACAAATTCACAGAGTGCTGGTAAAGATTAAGGAGCTGATGTACATCAGCATGCTTTCGTTATTGATGACACTTACTGGTTTATTTTTTGGTCACTAAGAATACTAGGTGTGAAACTTTGTACCCATATGAAAACAAATTTTTCCTCACATCATATGTCTAAAATGGAATATGAAGCAGTATCTTTTTTGACAAAACTTACTTAAACATGTGTATCTGTAGATAAGGACAGGGAGGGAAAAAGTTCATGAACATAGTTTGTTTTGGGAGGGTGAGATCAGTTTTATAAATGTTTATTTTATGTAGATTTCTGTTTAAGTTATAAAGTTCTTGTGAAATTGCAGTGTATTTAACAAATGGATGATGATGGTGATGATTTCTTAGATCTGACTTCCTTCTAGCCATATCTTCCAGTACTACAATTGTGTATTCCCAATTCTTTTACTTTTTATTACATGGAGTAAAAAAAAATCACTTATTTTATGATAAAATGTTGATATTGTTTCCAGTTGTTTTGGCATGCATTTTTGGCAAGGTAATTATTTTATTTTATTTATTTATCTTTTTGAGTTGGAGTCTCATTTTGTCGTCCAGGCTGGAGTACTGTGGCATGCTTTCAGCTGTCGCAGCCTCGACCTGCTGGGCTCAGGAGATCCTTCTGCCTCAGCCTTCCAAGCGTGTGCTAACATGCCTGGCTGGAACTACAATTGTGTGCTTACATGCCTGACTTATTTTTTGATTTATTGTAGAAAGGAGGTCTTACCAAGTTGCCCAGGCTGGTCTCAAATCCCTGAGCTCAGACAATCCTCTTGCTTCAGCCTCCCAAAGTGCTGAGATTACAGGCTTGAGCCACCATGCCCAACCAATTATTTTATTTTTTAGTGACATCTGAGAATAATACTTTTATGTAAATAGTTTCACTTCTTAGAATATGATGTTGACAGTCCCACGCTAGCTCCTGTTGCTTTTGTTGTCCTAAGATTGGGCCAGCCTTCTTTATAACAGTGGATAATTAACTATCAATGAATATTTGGCTTGAATATCCGTTAATCATGTCCTTCAAGGGTGATTTGTAGGATGATGCAGCAGGACTATTCCAGATAACCAAAGCTTTCTTTGGGCTATCCAATAACAGTTTTACTAAGAAAATTGGAACTTATTTTAAAATATCTAAAAACAAACGTAGCAAACAAGAAACTATACTCTTAAAAAAACCAACAATAATAGAAAAAAGGCCTAAATAATCAAGAACCATACCATTCTTACTTATTTGAAAACTTAATATTGGGAAATATAACATGATCTCTCAACCAACTCATCAAGTTATGCATCTGAGAAAGGCGTAACCTCCAGGATTCACAAGGAATTCAAACAAATTGAAAGGAAAACAAACAAGCAACTCCATTAAAAAGTGGGCAAGAGATATGAACGGACACTTCTCAAAGGATGACATATAAACATACAACAAACACATGAAAAAATGCTCAACCTCACTAATCACCACATGCAAACCAAAGCTACAATGAGATATCACCTAACACTTGTAAAGATGACTGTCATTAATAAGTCAAAAAACAACAGGTGCTGGTGCGGATGCAAAGAAAAGGGGATGCTTCTGTACTATTAGTGGTGGGAATGTAAGCTAGTTCAACCTCTGTGGAAGGCAGTGTGGCAATTTTTCAAGGAACTAAAAAGTTGAGCTTTCATATGATCCAGTAATCCTTCTCTTAGGACTATATCTAGAGGAACATAAGCCACTCTACCAAAAAGACACCAGCACATGCATGTTTATTGCAGCACTGTTCACAATAGCAAAAACAGGAAATCTGCCCAGATGCCCATTGAAAGTGGACTGGATAAAAAAATGCGGTACATACAAGGGGGACATAAAAGGATCCAGAATTTCTTTGGAGAGCTGGTCCCTTGAATTTGTTCTTCTGGATCAAATGATCAACCAAAGTTTTTATCTGGAAGTTTTGAGAAGGTCGCGTCATGTTTTGTTGAAGAAACGTCCGAAGTTTTGGCAAACAGGTTATTGGTTCTTTCACTATGACAATGCACCTGCCCACCAGGCTGACTGTTCAACATTTTTTTGACCAAAAATGGTATGACCCCTATGCCTCACTCTCCCTATTCACTCAGTCTTGCCCCAAGAGACTTCTTTTCCCCCCAGGATGAAAGATATCCTCAAAGGGAAATGTTATGTGGATGTGGAAGAGGTGAAACAAAAAACCACAGACGCACTAAAAGGCATCACAATTGATGAGTTCAAAAACTGTTTTAAGGAATGAAAAAAAGTGTCTCAATAGGAATATTGCAACTAAGTTCTTTGAAGGTGACTGAAATTTAAACATGTAAGAATAAATGTGTAACTTTTAAAATAAATTGCAGTTTTTTTGACCCTCCCCTTGTCTACACAATGGAATATTATGCAGCTATAATGAAGAACAAAATCACAGCCTGCGCTGGCACTTGGATGCAACTGGAGACTATCATACTAAGTAAACTGTCACAGAAATAAAAGAATACTGCATGTTCTCACTCATAAGTTAGCCCTGAGCACTAGTCACACTAGCACAAGGGTAGTATTGGCAGATGCAGGGCACTGCCAGGGAAGGGGAGGACGGAGAATGGAAGTGGGGGCACATGGCAACATAATGGGTACCTGGTCCATATCAGGAAGAGAGGGCCAGCTGGAAGCCCAAACCTCACCTGCATGCAACCTACTTGTGTAGCAAATCTTTACTTGTTCTCCACAGCCCTAAAAGGAAAAAAAAAAAAATCAGCAGTAAGAGCAAAAAGGCCTAAATAATCAAGGGTTATAACATCCTTATTCATTTGAAGACTCAATATTGGAAAGATGTCATATGTCTACATGTTATCCTATTAAAAACACCACTAGGTGCTTTTGTATAATGGCTGTCTGATTTAAAAATTAATATGGAAATGCAAATGACTAAGATTAGTTAGAGTAATTTTGAAGAACAAGGGTAAGAGACTTATAGTGTAAGGTATTGAGACTTATTGTAAAACTATTGTGACTAGGATAGTGTGGGATTGGTATATAGCTAGACAAATTGACTAATGAGACTGAATAAATAATCTAGGTATACACCCACACGGGTCCGGTCAGATGGCTTATGACAAAGGTCACAGTGCAGTGCAATTGGGAAAGGATGGTCATCAGTAAGTAATACTGGGCCAATTAGATATCCGTGTAGAAAAGGTATCTTGATCCCTATCTGATATGATATACAAAAACCAGTCCCAGATGGATGAATGTGAGAGGTGCAATTAGAAAGCTTTTAGATAACACAGGAGAACATCTTAGTGACCAAAGAGTGTTTAAGTAGGATTCCAAGGTACTAAATATGACATAAAAAATACAATGACCCTTTTTTCATCTAAAGATACTAGTATGAGAGTTAAAGGTAACACGAGAGAAGCTACCTATATCTTTAAGAGAACCTGTGTTAAGAACAAATTTAAAAAGTGCCAATTAATAGGAACAGGTAAACTGAATACAAATTGACAAAATTGAACAGACCCCACAAAACATGATATTCAAATGACCAGTAAATATTATATGAAAATGACATCCATAGCAATTCATATCAGGGAAATGTGAAGTAGAATGACAAGGTAATTCCAGTACATGCCAACCAAAATGACTTACGTGAAAAACATGGAAAATATTTGCAAGGATGTGGAGTAATAAGAATTCTTATTCACCAATTGTAAATTGGAACAGTGCTTTTAGAAAAATATTTGCTGTGTATTACCTAAACTGAACATCTGCATATCCTCTGGTCCAGCAATTTCACTCACAGATATTTATCTAACCAAAATGCATTTATATTTGCTATAATGTTTATGCATTTATATTTGCTGTAATGTTTATGACAGCACTGTTTGTCATAGTCAAAACCTGGAAAGTATCCAAATGCCTACCACTAGGAGAATGAATAAATAACTTGTACTGTAGCTTATAATGGAATACCATACAGCCTTGAAATCATCTACAGTTGATAAGACATAATATATATGAATCTCTCAATCATCATACTTAGCAAAGAAGTCAGGTACAAAAAATTCAAAACCCAATCTGTGTCAGAAGAGAGAGCAGTGGTTACCTGGAGAGGAAGTGACCACACGAGAGGGAATGTGAGAATGAATTCTGGGGTGGTACTGTGTTTCTTCATCTGTGTGCTGCTTACATAGATTTGTTCACTTGTAAAATTCATCGAATTGAATTGTTGATGTGTGTACTTTTTTGGTTGCATATAACAATTCAATACAAAACTTTAAAAATGCAATATAAGTCAATTGGTCCCAGACTGTGATAATCCAATAGTACTCATCTGTATACAGGTGCTCTTGTCTCAAAGATAGAATGAGTCCCTGAACCTGGGCATCTTTTTTCTAGAGAGGCTTGACTGGGTACTCCCAACTGATGGGTTCTGAGATTTTTTTCCCCCATATAATTTGTACCTACTCTCCTTTTTAATTTTGTAAAGTTTTTCTCCAGAGACTAAGATATTTGGTCAAATTTATCTCCCTTAGTTACATTGCAATGATGAGATCACTTTCAGGTCGTTCACACAAGTTCTATAACCATTTCTTTTGTGGTAGAGAAAGAGACTATTGGCTCTTGGGGGAAAAAAGGTAAAATTTGCATTATTGAGATGGTAACTTTTATTTATCTTCATTACTTGGGCAAATCACTTTATGAGTCTCTACTTTCTCATTTGTAAAAATTATCAATAAGTATTAAACAAAACTGGTTTATTGAATTTCGTGGCTGACTCTATTCTACAGTTTTTTGTTTTACTTATTTTCTTATTTCCTTGGTATTTGTATAGGTGAAAGACTAGTAGAGAAAACATCATTATTTGTGTTACAGTTTCTTATGAAATGTTAATTTCATTTTTCCATTACAGGTATTCAGAAATGGAGAGGAAAGTAAGCAGAATCTGTCTTGCTTCTGAACCCAATATGATTCATTTTCTACAAGTATCCTGGGAGAAAACACTGGAATGTGGTTTTGTTATTACACTTACTGATGGTCAGTCAGCGTGGACTGGGACAGGTAATATTAAAAACAAAGCTCTTGGGCAACCCCTTCGGGTCCCCTCCCACTGAAGGAGTTTTCTGTTCTCTCAATAAATCCTGCTTTAAACAAAACAAAACAAAATAAACCAACAATGCTCTTACAAGTAAATTTTAAATGTGTTACTCCTTAGTCCTCAATTATTCTTTTTTCTAGTAGATATTGGGTAAACTGATAATACTTTTACTTGTTATTGCTGTCTAATACATATACAGATTTGTAACATATAGTGCCATTTTCTACAATTTATATGAATAGAGAAATAAGTAAGTGCTCCAGCAAATTCTGGTTACCATTTGAATCTTGGTAACATGGACTTGGTCAGAGTTTTTAAATGATTTCTTAGTAGAAAACATAAGTCATACTTTTTACATGTATCACCACTCAGGACCCCAGGGAAGAATTGGGAGTAAGAGGGAGGAGGTTGGCTGGGTCAGAGGGTCTGTGTTGGCTTGAGGGCATGGCCTGGTGGTGGTTTTCTTTTTTCTTGGTACACTTTTTCTTTTTAAACTATTTTCCATTGAACATGTATTACATCTGTAACAACAGACCATAGTCTAAAACTTTGTAAAACAAGGTTCAAACCCATATATGGAATTTGGGCTGTAATTTTTTTATGGAATAGTCTTTTGATTTTTTTAAATCTTTAGTGATAATCATTTAAAAACACTAATGACCCTCTAATCATGTATGGAACATAGCAGATATAAAATTTAAAAATTTAGAGTTATGTTTTACTTATATAGCAAATTTGTAACACTCTTCTAAAGTATTTTATTGAAAGATTTGGAGAACTAGTCTATAAATATGCTGCAGTCATTTCTAGAGTTATGTTGTGAATGGTGTTTCAGGTAAAATAATTTTTCATATTAATTTACAAACTGTATCTTCTATTACCTTATGAAATATTTATCTAGGGTTTATTGCTATAATTATTATATCTTTAAAAAATTACAATACGTTGTGAAATTTTTTTTCTTAACTGTTACAAGTTTTGTTATACAATACAAACTGAATTTATACTTGCAGGGTTTTGTTTTTTTTTTAATTTGTCTTTTATGACATGGAACAAGGAATCCTGATAATAGGGATTATTGTAAAATAATGAAATTTCTAGGGTAATGTTTGCAGTACTCTTGATGATATCCACTTAACCTGTGAATGTCTGTGTAAGAGAGTCGGTTGTTGGATGATTGTTGCAGTGCAGTTATGGAGGAAGACTTGTTAGATTAGTTCTGTGTATGGCAGAGAAGGTACATCTAGATTACCACAGTTTTTGTGTTGGGGGAATATGGTGCATAGGCTACAGACCATGTCACTAGGTTCACACAGGTCATCTGGGTGAGAAGAACAGCACCACTGGGAAAATAGATCCTGGATGAAGCGGTTGCTTGTGCATAAAGAATACTATATTTAGGCCAGGTGTGGTGACATACCTTTAATCTTAGCACTTAGGGAGGCCAAAGAGGGAGGAGGATTGCTTGAGCCCAGGAGTTTGAGACCAGCCTGAGCAACATAGTCTTCTACCTCAGCCTCTCGAAGTGCCAGGATTACAGGCATGAGCCATCATACCCAGCCATAATAAATTTTGATTGAAAGAATGTCTCAATGTATGAAACTTGTTAGGAAAAAAGGAAATGAACTGTACATTTTTAGAGTTTGCATATTTTGATGTAAACTTCAGTTTTATATTTATTATTGACATTGATCTTAAATGCAGTATATTCTACCATTTGTTTTCTAGCTAATGGAATTTAGTGTGACAAAAATATGATATCAATCTTCTGTATTCTCTGGTGAGTTGTTAACATTTTGGCTTCCTGTGTTGAACAGATTTTCAAACAAAACATTTTGTAGTCACTACATGGTCATTTTATTTTCAAAGATATCTAATAAGGTTTTAAATCTCATGTGTGTTTATTCCTTTTATTATTCATTTCTATTTTCTTGTTTAAATTTCAGGGAAAAAATAGGAATTTATATATTATCACAGTTTCCATGATTAGTTAAGGCTTATTACATAAATGTGATTTGGTATTTTATAGATAGACAGTGACATGATGAAGAACATTGAAGCAATTAAATAATTAAAACATAGAAATGGATTTCCTTCCTATACCTCATCCTGGTTTTTTTTTTGTTGTTCAACTTTTTGATGACAGCAACCTTCAATTTGGATAATTTTTTTCTCTTTTCATTTCAGTGAAGTTAAAAGGATGTGAGGTTCCTTTTAATCTCTCCCACACTAAGTGCACTGATTTCTTTTCCATTAGCAATGTTTTATCTAATGAATGTTCTTGAGGTGTAATTATCGTGTGGTGTATCGTCATTTCAATATTACAGAGGGTTATATCATAGAGTTAAGTCACAAAGTGAGTTAATGATCAATGACTATGTGACTTTTATAAGAATTGCTGTCAGCAGTAAGAAACTTACATCACCCATATCTGAAGTAGTTCAAAGTTTACTGAACTGTAAATTAACATCTTACTAATTATTTTATTATCAAATAATTAGAATCATTCATAATTGTGCTATACATAAATATTTGTGACCTATATGGAAATAGTGCCAGAACTCAGTTGAAAAGGATTTTAATGAATGAAGTAGTGAGGAGGGTTTATGATGCGACACCCTCTAAAATGCCTAGTGCTGTGATGAGGCTCTGTGTCTTCTGCGCCATCTCAGATTTAGGGTAGGTGCAGCCTTTTGCTTAGTTATATATCTTCATCTACCCACAAATGGTGTTCAAGTCTTCATCTACCCACAAACAGTGTTCAAGAGATGCTCTTTAGGTATCTATCAGTCTGAGAATAGTTCCTTGTTTTTTGGTCATGCTGGCCTTCTCATGTTTTATGCCTTATTATGTGGTTCAGCTGCATTCTTGCTGAATTTTATTATTTCCATTGCTTTTATTCTTGGTCACTTAAGTTTTAGAGCATTGAATGCTTACAGCTGTGCTTTTTCCAGATGTTGTTAGCACAGAATTCAGACCTGATGTCCAAGTTGTTTTTCCAGGATTGAAGCTCTGAATAGGCAGTCGGAGTTTCACATTCACCTTTATAGGAAATGTTTAAGTAATTTTTAAACAACTAGTACCTTTATTGCATAGATTTTAAAGGGGAATTATAAATAGATAATTTCCTTTCCTATTTTTTTCTCCCTCAAAAATGAAACATTCCATAATAATCAGCATAGCATTCATGTGGGGGGTGGGTGCCATGAGAGGTATCTAAGATGACAACTGAGAGGACACTTCAAATGTCATCTGAGATGGCAGCAGGTGATTTTGAAATCTCAGGGCTGGGATTTGTTGAATGAATGAATTAATAAATTCTATTAAATATTTTCAGGTATCTTCATTTTAATGAAATTTTGAATACTTTTAATTAGAGATATTTTACCAAGAGCTATACTCTGTTTTCTTCTTTAAGTTTTTCTATAGCTACATTAAAGATGATTTCTATAGATTTTTTTTCCTATTTATCTGTGAAATATTTGTTCTTTATAGATATAAGCTAGGTAAAATTAGGTATTTACTTTTTGAAATAATCTAAACACAAAATATAAAATTCTGTAAATTGGAAGCATTTGTTTTATTTTTTTGTTCAGTTGAGATAATAGGGTATTTGAAAGGTCAATTCATATGACAGGAATGTTATTTTCAATACATGTCTGTTTCTGAGACAGAAAATATGTGAGGGTGTTTTAGAAGCTGTAAAGTCATGTAAGATTGTAAGATATTTTTATTCTTACCTCTTTTCAAAGACTGTGTGAAATATGAGAATCATATTTCATTATCAGAACTTATCAAAAATTGATCCTGTAAAATATATGCCTTCATTCTGAGACTCCCTTTTCCTTTGCCTCTCTTGGGTCTTCTAGACAGTACACAGACTAAAGTGATGAAAAGATGTGTTACATTTTTAGGGATCCCTTAATCAAGATTTCCTTATAATCTGTAATATTTCATACTAATGTGTTTCTCAAAATTATGGAAGGAAATAATGTAACCACTGTCTCATATTTCTGCCTCACTTCCAAACAGAACAACCAGAGAGATATAAGTATGGATCCCAGCTCTACCACTCAGCTAGTCTGTCACCCTAGACCATTACTTGATCTCTCTGAGCCTCAGTCTTCTCTTTTGAAAAATGAAAATAATATCTATCTTTTAGTGTTATGAGGGATAAAATGAAATGTATAAGTATAAAATTATAGGACCATACTTTCCTATGATAGCCCAAATTGACACAGGAAACCACCCAACCATATGCATATTCCAACACATGTCAAATTGAATCTTGTAACTTTGAAAGCAAACAAATACACAGACACACTGCCACCTTTGAGTGTAAGAAAGGGATAACTTCAGATTCTGCATTTGAAGAGGTGTCTGAAAGCCCAAGTGGGTGATGGGAACTGAAGTGTAACTGTAGACTCATGGAATTTCTGAACTGGATGTATGTCTAGATGACCGTGCATGGGGTATAATGTTGGGACTTCAGGCCTCTTAAAGAATTGAAGCTGAGCTCTCAGAATTAAAAAAGGAAACTGAAAGAGATATCCTCCTAATGAAATCATCTTAAAAAAAGAAACAAAACTACTCTTACAGGCAGGTGTGGTGGTACATGCCTGTAGCCCTGGCTACTACTGTGGAGGCTGAGATAGGCAGATCGCTTGAGCCCAGGAGTTTGAGCCCTGCCTCTTGACCTTGTCTTTACCAAAAAAAAAAGAAAAAAAAAATTAGCTGGGTGTGGTGGTGTATGTCTGTAGTCACAGCTACTCGGGAGGCTGAAGTGGGAGGGTTGTCTGAGTCCAGGAGATTGAGGCTGCAGTAAGTCGTGATTGCGCCCTCCACCCTGGTCAACAGAGTGAGACCCTAAAACAAAACAAAATACTACTTCTCTCTGGCTTGGGATATGCAGCATAAAATCAGACCAGTCCTTTAGGACTTCGAATGAGTAAAAGTCTCAACATAAATCAGAACCCTGAGATGGTGGTATAAAATTGAAGTCTTTTCCTCAAATGTAAAAACCAAGTTATGAAGCCAACTTTCACAACTGGTCCAGAACTGATGAACCATACAGTGACTCTAAAAAAGGCAGACCGGCAGCCTTGATTGAAGACGCTTCTGCCCTGAGCACTGGCCACTCTGGCTAGAGGGCAGCCACTCTCAAGGATGACAAAGCATGAAAGGGCAGAACTAGAACAATAGTGTGTCAGTAGATGGAAGAGACAGACTAATACCCCAGGGACCCTGGAGATCTCAGAGTATGATTAAAATGTTCAGATATTTAAAAGAAGGGTAGGGAAAGAAGAGGAAATTATGAAAACGCAACAAAGAGGTTATTTAGAATTGAAAATATAATTGCTGAAATAAAAATCTCAGCCAAAAAAAAAAAAAAATCTCAGCAATGTGTAAAACATCAGCTTTAAGGATATCTGGACAAGCCAATCGGAAGCTAGACTAGCCTAGTGTGTGCCATTGAAGAGACTCTCAGTGCCTTGTGGTTTCCCCATTCCCTTCTCTTACACTGGATGTCATTGGTTCGTGAGACAAGAAAGAGGAGCTCCACTCCTACTTTACTTTGACTCTGCCCATACGAGTGAGAAATGGGCTACAGACTACTAAGTCTTTGAGGAAAGGAAGAAAGTTGTTTTGGGATACTGAACTCATGAATCATTATGGGAAATAATTTATCTGGCTATGACCTGAGAGCAAGTACACAGTGACTGTTTCTGTGTAACCTTTACAATGCATGTATTTCATCTGAGGTCAGAGAAAGAGGGCCAGGAGTGTAATGCTTTCTACACCAGACTTGAGACTAAACTAATTTTCAAAAACATTTTTCAAATATTGTTAGTTCATCTAACAGGTATAATTTGAGTTAAAAATTAGTAGTGTAGGGATTGATTTTACTTTTTGTTTAAATTTATGTCATATGTGGTAAATTAGTACTAACAGGTAAACAGATATTATCTCATGTTTAGTAATTTTCATATCAAAACATTTTTAATGTCTCTCGTAGTCTCTGAATCGGAGATTTCCCAAGAAGCTGATGACTTGGCGATGGAAAAGGAGAAATATGCGGATGAGCTGGGAAAGGCTTTGGTGTCAGGGGCAGGACCTACTGACACATACAAGTTTAATTTTTCTAAAGAATCTGGTAATTTCTCCTTTGAGAAAAGCCTGAGAGATGTTTCAGTAAGTAAAACTTTCCATAATGTTATAAGTGGTAAAATGTCAGAGCACTTGTTGAGGAATTATGTTTAATCTTTAAATAACTAGCATATTCCTAGAACATCTCAGAAATAAAAGCTTGAAAAGTACTTGGTTTCCAAGATGGAAAAGTGCTTCCAAGTTAAAGTCATTAAATGCTGTATAGTAATGAATTGTGAAAAATATTTATTGGAAGATGTATTTAGTTTTTAACACTTGAACAAATTTGAAGTATTGCAGAATTAATTACACAGAACAGCAGTTTTGAAACAGTGAGATCAGAAGTTTATGGCCATTGCAACAAGGTCTTACTGAATTAAGTTTTGGGAAATATTGATTTTAAGAAAAAAATAGCATAGTTATTTTTGAATATGTAATAATTATGAGTTATTTTCTACTTTATTAGAATGGGTTTGAAATTATGCAATAAATAATTAAGTATAGTAAGACATATAATAAGGTTAAAGTTTACTTTATCTTGTAAGACTTAGAAATACTAAAATAGAAAAATATCACTTTTAGTCCAAGCCTCCTAAACTTGATGCTTTGCGGACAAATCACCCTGCTCAGTACTTGTACCACTTCAGATCAAGGCAGGTGGCTCATTTGTTAAAATTCTCATGTGTACTATTTTAATACTTAACCTAAGTTGATTAGATACTCAATTTGTTTTCTGCTAGTGGTTTATCAGTCAGATATGAGATCTACAATATCTGAAGGAAAGGGAAAGAAATCTTTACTATATTAAGTTTGTAGACAGTTATTGAGATTTTCTTTTAGAGCTAAATTGAGTTTAAAAAATTATTTTAAAACAACCTCTTTGATTCAGAATGATTCAAGAGAATTTTACCAGTTAGAGAAACACTCAAAGAAATAAATAGAATCACTATTTTCAAACTTAATATTATCATATAGTGAATATACTGAGAATGGCTTCAGAAATTTCAGTTTAAAAGACATATACTTTTTCTAATTATCTGTCAATTTATATAAGTTTCAGTATATAAGTTCCTTAAAATGGTAATATAAAATAGATGCAGTAGGAAGGTTGGAACTAGCTGCTAAAATTTGTTCTTTTCTGTGGCCCAAGTTCAATCAGATGATATTATACATTACAGAACTACTGCCTATTTCTTTTAAGATTTTGAAGGAGATCATTGTCAAATTGGGAGTAATGCCATTTCCTAGTCAACAGGCTTTTGTGTATAACAATTGGCCTTAATTTGTGCAGCCAGTTTCTGGTTTTCATCTGTTTTGTATACACTGATGCAAACAAATTCCAAGTTAGTGAGGTGCCTCTTGGAAGGCGGGAAAGGCTTTTGGTATCTTGACATGGTGAAAGAGGGCTTGGTATGGTGGCCATAGAGTGGGAACTTGCCATTGTTGACCATACACCTGTTTCTGCTGCTTTTGTGAAGAACAAGCTTTTAGTCTTCATGATGTGTGTCTTTTACAATTAGTCTGGCATAAATTGGCATCAAAGGCTAATAATAATCCTGCAAGATTTCTTGCTTACCATCCTGAAAGTTATCAGCTTTATCAGAACCAACACCTTGAACTATAGGTACCACCTTTTCAACAGGTTTTCTCAAGAAATGGAAACAACTTGAAAGATTCCCAGTGATGTAGAAATGTGTTGGTTCCGGACAGGATGTGTCTTAAAGCACTACATTGTGGTAGCTGTCTCCTTATTTATTCATGTATATCTTCATGAGAAAAAGGAAGGCTACTCTCACAACAGTTTGACAAGGAGGAATTTACTCATGGCTTGGCTTACTTGGGAGATATTTTTGGATATTTAAATGAGGTAAAACTTTTAGAGAGCAGTCAGCCTTATGGATGGATGCAGCTGAAAAATCACAAGTTCATTTGGCTAGAGTGTCATGGGAATCTTCCAGTGTTCAGGATGTGTTTCTGCAAACTGATTTCAAAGTGACAATATCTTGTAAATTCATCTGCTGGCAAAATTCTGCAGACAATTGGAAACATGGCAGAATACTTTTTGAGGCTAATTGTGCTCTAAATGACCTAAAAATTGAAAAGGAGTTTGTAATCCTTTTCTTGATGACACAGACATCTGGTTGTTGCCAAAAATGACCTCCTAAACTTAGAGGAAAGGAAAAGAATGAAAATAGATTCAGCTCAAAAAGTTGTAGTGAATTCTGTTGTTTCTTGACAAAAGTTTACTTGCCCATGATGAAGAGTATTTTACAAGTTCTAAGCATACTTGCCACCAGACATGCACCTCTGAGACTTGAGTTTTTAGGTGTTTGATGCCATAAATTCAAGAAATTTTGTCTGTCTAATTGTGTGTTGTAGATCACTGTACAATTTAAACATTTTGAATAGCCAATCCGTAGGAGAATTATTTGAAATTAAAATTTGTTTACAACAAATTTTCCTTTCTATTTTATTTTTTTAAAAGAAAGTTATCACTAATTTTCATATTCAAAAAGACCTAAACTTTTGAAAATACTATCTTATGTTTTGTCTGCATGACAGAATTGTACATTTGTATTGCAATGAAATGTTTTAAATATGTAACTTGTCTGCCAATGTTTATATTCATCTTTAGGGAGGAGAGATCCACAGTTTTTATGAGATTGTTTTTGTGCTCATCCTCCCAAAATTTCACTTATACTTGAATTGGATTTTCCTTATGATATAGATGCTTTTATTTATTGTAATTCCAACTGGAATAAGTGCCGAATGAGCAACCACACACCAAGTCCTTCTCTGTGTGTATTGTGAACTCTGTGGCCCTTCCTGCCCCAGCTCCTCAGCTGGCAGTCACGGTTCTCCTGAAAGCAGCCTCTGCCTGTGTTTGGACTCAGTACCCCTTTACCACATGCACCACAGTCACTTGGGAGAGCGTCCCTGTACATTGTGCCACTGTTTCCCTCCACCTTTCACAATTCATCCATATACAATTTGTCATGCCACCAAGGCACCTTGTTGAATAATATATTCTTCTTCCTTTTTTTGCTTTCATGTTTTACTCTGTTACTTAGGGGGAAAATTTTATGAGTCACAGAAAAACACTTAATTACTTCTAATAAGGATAACTTTGGACCAACCATTTAACTTCCTCTTGATTCTGTTTCTTCATCTGTAAAATTGTAAAGTAATTTCTTAGATTCATTTCAGGTCATTAAACATACTGTAGTTTTATATGTTAAAAAATAGCACTGATGAAGGAAGCCATGAGGTTTGAAGAAAAATGAAACATAATTTTGTATGTATACACATGTACACATATATATGCGTAAATGAATATATATATATAACACACTAGAACTTGTCTAGTCCCCAGTAGAATTAATGCACTCTACATTTATTTTCTTTCTCCTGCTACTTAAATGCATGGAGTTTTGTTTTTCTCTGATCTAAAAATCCAGATAGACAGTCCTGTGTTAATGTGAGGGCTCACAGTGTTGGAGAAACAGGCTTCTGTGATCATGTTGCTTTGTCAATTTTAACAAATAGTTTTTCCTTGGTCTAAGATGGCCCCTCTTGTTTCACTCAGTGCTCATCTTTTAGGCAGCAGGGCCTCTTGACTCTCTTGAAAGAGACAGTTAGACCCCCTTTTTAAGGCCATCCCTCCACAATTGCATACATTCTCACTGACCAGAACTTGTCACATGGCTTCACGTAGCTACAAGGGAGTCTGTGAAATGTCTTCTGCTGTGTCCTGTGCTCAGAAATTTCCATTACTGTGTAAAAAGAGAGCATAGATATTGAGGGACAACTAGCAATCTTTGGGTATAACATCAGGGAAGATGGAAACATTTATCATTCAGGAGGTTTGTTTTTATCATTGCAATGGTATTTCTCTATTATTTTCATTAATATTTTAGTTTATAAAATGTCAGTCTATATAGTAAGGAACATGCTAGTCTATGTCTTACTATATTTTGTAACTTTTATTTTTTTTTTAGTGAAAAATGTATTAAGTTCAGACAGTTATATTATTTAATTTACACTTTCAGATATATGAGAATGAGATAAAATAAGTTAGCCAAAAATACCCACTAAAGTTGTTTTCAAAAACTGCAGTCTAAAATTCTATATTATTATCATGTGTCCCTGTGGTTTCAGGATTCTGAATTCAAAGGGCCATTTCCGGATGAAATATCAGAATTGGACCATTTATTGTGGTACCCAGCCACAATACAATTTTTTGTCAAAAATAGTAATGATTTTCAGGTTTTTGGGAGTATGAGTTGCAAATGTGTTGTTTAAAAGTCTGAAAAGGAAATCATAATATTTTTTATTTTTGTGATAAAAGTGTTTTTGTGCATATGCCATTTTTATACTAAAGATTTTATAATTTTCTTACTCTTTTGGAATATGGGAACTAAATCTGTAATGTAAGTGGTCCAGAAATCCCGTTTAAAGTATATATTTTCTGGTTAAGCCATAGAAGAGATTTTAGAATTACTGCTTTTAAAAACAAAAATGTAACTTTTTAGCTATACTAGTTTGTGTTTGAGAACTCATCCTTTTCTTGCTTTATATTGCTCTTAACCTTATTAACACTTGCTTATTACTTTTCAGTTAGTCTGCTTCAACATGTACCCTCTCACTTTAACTGGTGGTGTCAGTGTGACACATAAGGAGACACATGCTGGAGGTATGTGTAAGACACCAAGGAAAGCAGGGGTAGGAAGTGAGCAAGGGTAGAATCCAAACCTCTCTCTTGCAAATCCCAAATCAGGTTTTTTAGGAACACATTTTTGTGTAGTTATAATTTACATACAATAAAATGTGCCTGTTGTGAATGTGTAGTCTTCATCACTTAGGACGGTTCTCTCATGCCTCTTTCATTCAGTCCCCAGCAACTTCCTATTCTACCCCAGATCCACCCACCCTTCAGCCCTGGGCAGCCCTGCACTGCTATCCATCACCATGGATTAGCTTCCCCTGTTTCAGAACTTCATATGAGTGAAGCTCTACAGTATGTGCCCTTGCTGGAAACCGTACTT